TATTTGGTGCCTTTCACTAGTCAAGATCTTTTCTAATTTAATCCTGATAATGATTGTGTGAATTGTGTATTACTATTTCAATTTTATAAGTGAGGAAACTGAGAACCACCACCTCCAAGAAACAGTTTGTATATTCATTCATTCATTCATTCATTCATTCATTCATTCATTCATTATCAAATGATAATTGAGTATCTACACTGTGTTAAATACTGTATTCAGCAGAGAGGATACAGCAGCAAACAAACAGAGCTACTGCCTCCTAAGGAGGGAGGCATGCACCATACAAAACCCAGTGAAATCAAAAACATGCCCAGCATTATGAAGAAAAAGAACAGGTTAACATGTAAGTGAGCACTGGTGTGGATGGCTCTTGCATAATAGGCTTGGGAAGTTCCTGGCTGATTTGACTTTGAAGATGAGACCTGAAAAAGACGAAAGGTACTAGTTCTACAAAGAATGAAGAAAAGAAAGACTTCGGTAAAAAAAAAAAAACAACTTGCAAGAGGGCCCCAGAGTGAGAAAATATCTTGGAATATTTGAGAAATGTGTCTCAGAAAATTGTCAAGAAAGGAAGGGTAGTTAAAATGAAGCAGGCATGGCCTAACTATGCTAAGTCCTAGGCATCCCTTCTTTAAGGAGGACATTGGGACAAAAATCTATAGGAGGAGGACAGAATAAATAGGATGAAAAAGATACAGAAATTATGCCATGTGGGAAACAGAGGTAATTACATGTTAAATATCTCTGAAAAATGGCCTGTGTGTCCAGGGATGGTAGTTGGTACTTTTGCATTTTCTTCAAAGGCTGGCATGGGAAAAAAGTTTTGATTTGCTTAAATCAATACAAATGCCTAAGAGTAGAGAGTTAAGGAGACAGAATTTGGCTTTATAGAAGGAAGAAAGTTCTAATAATCTTACTTGCTCCACAAAAATTGAGTGGTCCAAACTGAGGCTATATAATGCCCTGCCAGGAATGCTTTATGAGCGATTTCTTTGTTAGCATCTGGTATGCTTTAGGTGACACTTCAAAACCATCCAATTCTAAAATGCTATCGATCTATAATATAGCTGTATCCACAAGAAAAGGTTATAATATGACCTGGTTCACAAGAAAGAGAGGGACTGAGAATTCAGCACCAAGGACAGTGCTTTGCTATCTAGGACTGCCTTTGTTATCTCTAAAAAGCATCAATGGATAAACGTGATATTACTAATCAGATCAAAATTCCTATCACAAGTGCCTGAGAACAATTCACAAGTTATAAAAATGCCTACAAGGACTCAGAGCACATAATTCAAAATGCATATCATACTTGGACTCTCCATAGTGTTTATATGGCTGGATTAAAACACTCCACATTTATATAGATCAGTATAAAGTTTACAAAATGTCTTACCCTCAGCCTAATAATGGTAAAAAATTAATAAGTAACCTCTACATCCCTAAATCTAATGAATAAATATTTGACATGGTATTTTACTCATTTATTTTTGGTCTCTCCTCTATTAGAATGTAAATGCTATGAGAACGGGATTTTTTTTTTTTGGCTGTTCGGTTTATTGCTGTATTCCCAGAACTTAGAAGAAATGCCTTTTTTTTGACACATAGTACGTGCTTGCTAGATGTCTAACTCATTAATCAATCACATCTAACTCTTTTAATAGCCTCAAGCACACAGTTATTAGGGTTGTGTGTGTGTGTGTGTGTGCATGTGTGTGTGCGTGCGTGTGTGTATGTAGGCAGTCTGATTGTAAAGGCTGAATAGTTAGTCACTCTGCAAGCTTAAAAACCACCCTTAATATCCATAGGCTGAATATACTGGGACCCTAAAGTTCTCTTACCCTGTTCTGACTGAGAATTGCAGGTAGAATTGGGAGCAATGAATTTGATTGATAGTAAATTATTCAACCCGGCCATGACTATCCTACAACAAACGGCCGTTTATGCCTTCCTTTAATTTAATTTAATATAACTTTTGGCACATCTTTTGCTTTTTACCTTCTAGTGATACAGATTTGCTGAAGTCTGGTTTTTACTTGACCTAAGATATTTTTTCCTCCTTTTATGAGGAGAGCAAAGCACTACTTTTTTGAAAGACATCAAATCTAGTGCTTTTGTCTTCTGACTTGCTGTAGAGTTGCTGATTTTCATGTTTACTTATAGCTTCTATTGTTTCTCTCTCTTTTCTTTGTAGATTGCTGCTTTCTGGCTTTCCTATGACAGACTGGAAAGGTACCTTTATGTTTAAAAAACTATACTTTTCATAAGTTCTCAGTATAAAAAATACAACAGTAGTTATTTATTCCATCCTGTCTAAAGTGAGAAAATAAGCAGATTTTTATTTCCTCTCATCAATCTTTCAACTCTTTCTCAGTTTGGCTGACATAATAATGAATTATAAACCCATATCACAGTTGTTGATTTTTTACCTTATACATCTCCTCTTTAAGTAATTGTTTTTTCTATTAATCCTCTCTTTTGCAACATATTTAAAGCCATTATTTAGCATTAACACTATGTTTAATTAGTTTCCATGTTCACTGTGGGTCTTTTTATTTCATACTTTTCTAGTCTTCTTTCTTTATTTTGATTCACTGCTCAGTCAATTGCTCTTTGAATGATTTACTAAAAGCAGGGCATGTGGGAGCCCCTGGATACTGAGAATGTTTTTCTGATGTATTTGCACAAGTACAACAACTTAGCTGATAAGGAATTCGTGGGTTATAACATTTTCTCCTCAAACATCCTCCAGGCTTAACTGAATTGTCTGCTGTCCTTCATGATTTGGAGAAATCTGAGAGCAGCTAGCCAGAGATTTGTTAAACTGAGAATGGTTTTTCTGCTCCTATGACCCTTTCACCCGACTCTTTTCAGTAAAATGTAATACTAAATGGAGTAATTTGAAACAGCGTGTAGTTTTTCTCTTACCAGAAAGATACGATACTCTTAGTGCCCAGCTCCCACACCTTTTCCTCTCTATTCCTGCGAGGCTGACTCACACACTCAACACACCTGGCATAAGCACCCACCCAATTCCATTCCTGCTTGTGTCTCATTACTGCAAATCTGAGTTGAAAATGGGAGCACACATGGTGTGGGATCAAAGGCATAAGTAATTAAATGGCCTTGTAACTCCCAAGCAGTTAATCTTGGAATCTGCTTCCTAGATGAGATGGCTTCTGGTGGGGTAACTTTTTCCCAAGAGGAGTCTGTTATGTGATGTTTGGGAGAAAAATTTCCAACAGTCCTCCTGCCTCACTTGCTGTTTTTCTCAGGAGCAACAATAGTTGGTTTGGGGGAACCTCTTCTGGGGTCCATTTGCCAGTTTCTTGGGTTCTATAGACTTTGTCTCTTGCTTGGCTTTTTATGAGAATCTTGGCAGAAACATGATACAGGGTGAATTGAGTGCAGCTACTCCTCCCCTTCCCAGTGTGGAAACCCAACAGCACCTCTTGATCTGTTGCCAAGAGATGGGAAAGCCACACCTTCTAAGAATATTGTGCTGAACCATTAAACTGGCACGTATGTGCTGAACCAAGAACAAGAGGGACCCCCAGATACTTCTGCCCATCTTTACGTCTTCCTCCTCAATGCATCAGAGTGTTCCATGCAGAGGGAAGACCAGATGGACAGATGGAAGGCAGTCTGGCAGCTTCTCTTTGTACTTGTATACTCTCCATAAGGAATGTTGCCTGAACCAGTAATAAATGCAGAACTGAAATACCAATGTGGAATTTAAATGGGTAAGTAGATATTTTAAATGTTAATTAGTTTTCATCCAGGTTTCTCCTAAGGCAATGACTGCCACTGACAACTAAACTCTCTCTCTTGGCCACACAAAGCCTCCCCCAACTACTCTCCACGCACTTCACCAAATCTTGCCTTAGTCTCAGCTTTCTCTTCTCAGCTTCTCACTGCTCAGACACACTGTGGAACATGGTACATCCAAGATTCCCGTATGTTCATGGAAGCTCTTGGAGGGCACCTATTACATAACCTTACTATGAACTATAGCACCTAGCATTTATCAGTGTTCATTATATGATTCTGAACTAAATATGGCAACCTGACACGTGTCCAGAAAAGTGTATTAGATGGAAAATACTGTGTCATGAGAGGAATTAAAAATATTTAGCTGGCAGAAAACAAGACCAGATGGGTGTGTCTGTATACAGGGGAAGCAGATGGTAGAAAGGATCTTATGTAACCAAATGAATCCCATCTGAGAAGGTGATTGCATTGTTTCTAATGGGACCTGAGAGCATAGACCAACAGCAATGGGTAGAAGCTATAATAAAAGATATATTTAAGTCAATTCAATAAAAACTTTTCGTATAGTCACAGCCCTCTCAAAGATCATCAAACTTATGACACAAAGAAGTGAGTTACCTGTCATGGGAGGTATTCAAGGATAATCACTATCAATACTTAACTGTGATATTGTAATGTTGATTAAAACAGTGTTTAGTAGAGGGAGGGAATGAGGTATTCAATGACCTTTCAGATCCTTTCCAGCCCTGTGATTTTGTGATATTATGACTGGCATTCCTCCTTGACCAAGGAAATTTTTGACACAAAAAAGGTTACCTTGTCCTTGGGAGAACAAGTATTTTCTAATGTGACTAATGGTAATGATGAAGGAGTTAGTATTCACTGATTAACTAAGACATGCTTAGTGTATTTTCATGGAGATCAAATTGGTAGGTAACTTAGAGATGAGGAAATTAAGTCTAAAGATAGGCATGTGATTTACCCAAGTGAAACACCTTTCTATTCTCTAACACGGGGGCCTGCAAACGTTTTCTGTAAAGGGCCATATTTCTGCAAATATTTTAGGCTTTCTGTGGGACAGTCTCTGTTTCAACCACTCAACTGTACTCAGCTTTGTAACGTCAGGGCCGCTTGTCAATCTCTGCTCTAAAGTCATGCTGCCTTCTCAGTTGAGAACAGTATAACACAAACAAGGCAAGAAATGGCCTCTATGTGGCCATACTTACTCCATTTGCTTTGCTGAGTGCCTGGAAGTAGATGCTGTAGCTTTTCAGAGGGGAAAGAGGAGGGTTCCAGTAGCCATTGTATGTCTTGTTGTCACCCACTGTAAATGGCTGGGTGACAGGCAGGTTGGCGGGCTTCAATTCAGCAGCAAAGTAGTGCAGAGAATCAAGGCTGGAGGCATTCCTATAGCTCACAGGCACCGGAAAGCACTCAACGATGTCAGCTGCTCTCCGTGACTTCTGAAGCCGCTCTTCCTTGACAACCAGCTGATAGACACTGGACAGCAAAGAGGAGAGGCAGATGAGCAACTATCTGGAGGGATAAACTTGTTATTATTTTTCATCATCACTTCTGTCTACAAATGAACCTCCCTGCTGAGCTTCAGACTTAGAAACCTACTGCTTTGTAGAAATCGAGCTCTTTAAATGTCCCAAAGCCAGTTCACACTCTATTATGTCCAAAATGCAACTCAGTCCCAACCCCTACAAAGCCACTTGCTTCTTCTACATTTCTTTCCTTCGTGAATGGTAGCATTGCCCATCAAGTGCTCAGATATTGAATCTGGGCTCATTCTGAATTCCTACCTTCTTAGTTCTCACTCTGCACCTCTAATTGCTAAGCCCTGTTGACTTGACATCAGCAATCTGCACCTGCCCTTCCTCTTTTTTCTCCACCCATCCTAATGTTGAGGTCGCATACTTTCCCCTCTTCTACTTAGACTCAATTGTCTCCTTGCCTCTTATTTGATCAGCTAATCAGCGAATCCATTGACCTTCCTAAACGTATAACACTGCTCCTCTTCAAGTACTTTTATAGCTTTCCATTTTCTAATAATACAATTGAAACTCTTCATCCATGAGGCACTTTGTGCCTACCTTTCAGAAAGTCACACGATGAGCTCTTTTCCAGCTGCTCCAGACTCCATGCTATTGCACAAACATCCTCTGGATCCTATCCCATGCCAGCACCAGGTCATGCTTCCTCCACCTGCAGTGCCTGATCATTCTGGCCACTTCTGCCTGTGGAAGGCGTTCCCTAAAGTCTGAGCCTATCTTTCATTTCCTCGATGAAGTCTGTCTAGATTCTCCTCATCTGAATGAGTTCTCTCCCTCCTTAGCTCCCCTACAACTCATGAATGGCTTTCTGCTTGGGATTGCAATAACACGAGCATGAGACTACTGTTTCTGTGGCTGGACTGTGACCTTTTGGACAGAGGGACTGGGGCTCAGTGATCTCTGCATCACTCTCCCTGCCACACACACATTGCCCAGCAGTTTGCCTGATACCCATATGTGATCAGTGAATGCTTGTTCAAATAAACCAGTTGAATTGAATTAACATCGAAGGTAAGCAGGAAACCAAATCTGACTGGATGCAGAATTCCTAAATGAGATAAACAGTGATCCCTCTGAGCTCCTGTCTAGTGATCTCATACCCTTCCCTTCAACTTAGGAGGACATAAGAAGATGTAGGTGTGTGAAGAGAGATAACCAAGCCTTTGTTGAACATTCATTGTATGCCAAATGCAGAGGCTCCTTTTATAAAAATTATCCTAAAGTTTGTGAATTTGGATAACATTTAGCTCTCTCTTTGAATGTCTACAGTTTGTATTTCTCTTGAATAAATGCTCTTCATTTAGAAGATCTTTTTTGCACAGATCTTGGACTCATGAGCTAAGAGAAAAGATCAGTTGCTCAAAGAGTGTTCCCAGGAAACTTCGTGAATTAATGAGATGATTGCAGCAGTGCCCTCCCCCAAAAATAATTTAAAGATGGCATAGTGAAGTAGCACATGGTTTATGCAGATGGAACATGGTGGGGCTGCCATCCTTCAATCAGACTGTCCATCTGAAGATACTTGGTTAAGAAGCACAGGGTGAAGACAGAAGCATAGGACCATTTCATCAAGGAAAAAAGGCTCCAGAGGGACTGACTCAGGGAAACATGAAACATGACACACTCAATATGGCAAGTCTTCCCCTGATTCTCCTTGAGCATGGAGATGGTCAGCAATGCAGGTGGGAAGCAGGTAGGCATGTGTGTATATGACAAACTTGGATGAGTGTGACATTTGTGGGGAGGTGAGCAGTCGGTGAATGGGCATGCTTGCTGTCCAGTGGGCACATCTGATGACAGCACAACAGTCCTGAGTGCAAGGAGTGACAGATGAGCGAGTGTGGCCAGCCTTTCTGGGAGTACACTCTACAACTGAGTGTGAACAATGCCCAACAGAGGATCTGAAGGATGAGTGTCTGACAGCTGAGCAATGTACATTCTCTCTGAAGGAGTAGGTGTGACATCCAGACAGATGCAACTTACCTGAGTGTGGACACCGAAATAAGTGTGTATGACATCTGAGTGTGTCTGACACCTCAAAGTGTGTGTGTGTGTGTGTGTGTGACGTCTGTATATGTTCATAAAATGAAAGTCAATAAATACTTAAATTATGACATTAATTCTTATTCCATCCTCAATTCTGGGGTCCTTCTCAATGCTACAAACAGTGTTTATCAGGGAAGCTAAACTCTAAACAATCCCTGAAAAAGAGCAAAGGGACCCAAACCCCTAGAGGTTACAGGGTAGAAGTGGAGAGGTACCTTTAACAGTCTTTGGAGCCTGCACTGTTTTACATACAAGTCTCAAGTAAGACTCTAAATCTGACTAGAATGCTAAGGGCTACTTGTTGAAGACCCATTACTCATGCAACTCTGATCTATGAGAGAAAAGGCAGCAAAGTGTGAAGGTGTGACAACCTCTGGGTTCACCTGTTGAGGCTTGCATAGCACCTATAGCACTCTGCACTGGACTAGGGCACTCAGCCTACCCAGCCCTCGTGCCCTCCTGTTCAGGTCAGAGGGACCAACAGTCTCTTCCCTAGAAGCAGGGTTTGCAAAGAGCTGTGGGTCCCTGCTTTCCCCTGAGGCCCCATCTATCCTTACTTACCACCTGAGTTAACTCTGCCTACACGAGAAGACCCCTGTCTTCATTTCTCAGCCCAGAACTCTCATGCCACCCTTGAATCCTTCTGCCATTCTCACCTTCTGAGCTGAGAGTGCAAAGGCTTGGGAGCTTCACTGGGGTGAGATCTAACTCTTAGAATCACTTTCTGTTGCCCCTGGCCATCCTAGGATGGGATGGATCAGGAACAGTCACAAGACGACTGCCCATGACTGGCACGAGACTCTGCAGCCAAACAGGGGAGTCTTTATTGGACTCTGACACACGAAAGCTGACGACTACACAGGGAGGCAGGGGTCATCCTGTGACGCCCCCACCCTCAATCTGATTACGGAGGACTCCTTGTCAATTCAACCAGACTCAGCAGCCAGGTTACAGATGAGGATGCTGAGGCTGAGAGGTCGAGCGCCCATGAGTGTCAAACTGCTGCAAAGGTAAAAACCCGGACTTTCCATTCATAGTTCAGTAGCCTTTCTTTTTTCTCTGCCTTCCTTCTTTCTCCATAAGCCAACAAAATGTACTCAGGACCTTTGAACAATTTTTACTTGGTGGCCTACACTTCTTTGCTCTATCCAACCCAGCCTCACCTGATATCACAACTAGCAAAGGATATTTTGGGGATTAAATTGCATTAGCAACATATAGTTCACAAACATTTGGGATTAATGTGCCACACACCCAGCAACACCCCAGGTTCACTGTGTCTGCAGCTGTCCACACACAGGCAAGTCTGTATGCAGCCAGAAAGCTGTAAACCATTTTGTTGCATAAAGCTTTTTGCCAGTGGACACGGCTTCCCTCAAAGATCAGCGAATTCTGATGAAGGCAGGGGAGAGAAGAAACTCATTCAGCCTGTGCAACTTCCCTTTTCCTGATGTACACACTTTAGAAAAGGGTGAGGGAAAGACACAAGGGGGAAAGATGCATCATTTGTGTTTCTTGAAACTTCAGTTTTAGCTGAGGTTAGAAATATATTTATCTAAGCTCTTCTCAGCTTGCTGCTCATGAGAAAAGCATAACCTAAATGAGAATAACCCGCAAAGTCATATCTCTACTGCAAAAGAAGTGGACACAATAAGCTATTCATGATCATTTGTAAAGAGAAGGGATTTTCTAAAGTAGAAAAGCCCTGAGCATATAAGAGGAGAACTTAAAATGCTGGTCTCCCAACAGAAAGCATCTACTTCCACATTTCCTCCTCCTGTGACATCCCTTCTATTTCCCTCAATGAGAAGATGGACACATATGACCATATTTTCTGCATAAGTTATCCTGAGGGTCTTTTGCTGGCCCCTGACAGCTGTGCTGCAGCCCCACCTCAACATGTAAGGCCAGGAGAGCTTGTCCCTTCTTTCACCTCCTGGGCCCTGGTTTTCTCATGGCAGATCACCTTCAGTGTCCACTGTTGCCGTAAGTGACACACCACTACCCATCTTCTGCCTGGCTGTAAAGACCCAGGCTTGTCAGTTATTTCCATCCTTTAGTTTCAGGGTCTCTCAAGACTAGAACACTCTACGTGGGTCCCACATTCCAAGACCTCCAACCCACAGAGGACAATTGCCTCAGACACCTTTAAGAGCAAAGCTTATAAGAATTCCTTGGTAGGCTTTAGAGAACTTTGCCTTGTAAGGGACACGTTGTTACCCACTCAGATCCCCTCATCTCCCCGTTCCTGCAATGTGCCCATCCCCCAGCCTCTTTGTGCTTTGATGCAAAAGGCTCTCAGCTCTGACCTTCCTTGAAGGGCTGCCTTTAGGCTGCCAGGGCTACCTTGCGTCCCACACAGACGAGGACAGAATTGGGAGTATATGTGTTTGTCTCTTCAGGGAAGTCCATAACCAATACCTGGTACTGGGAGACCCAAAGCCTTTGGCTTGAGATGAGCCAAACTCTGGGCACAATTTATGCTCTGGAGCTTCCTGTGGGATCCGGCTGTGACTGGGACTTGGCCTGAATTTGCATTTTTGCTTGGCACCCTCCCCTCTCTTCCCTCTTCCCTTACTTCCTTACTGGTTTATCCTGGGTCTGCTTCTTTACCCCGTCATTTGCACTGAACCCTTGGCTCAGGGTCTGTCTCTGGAAGAACTTGAGCTAAGATCAGCCAATATCTGGGAGAACATGGATCCAAATGTACTCCTTTTTGATGTCAGGCAATCTTTACCTGTGAATTACAGAATGCTGTCCATCTGCCATCTGACGTCAGCATTCTGAATGATACAGTGCCTGGCTGGAAGTATCTTCCTCAGATACACAAAGGGGGCCATGAGATGTGTTAATGATGTATGATAATCCTGACAGGTCCCTTTTGGAGAAGCATGA